CCCTTAATCCTTTTTTTTTTTTTAGTGAATTTGTGTATATGAGCAAAGTCAACTAGTCTCTTAAAAAGAATATTGTGAGGCTGGCAGGTGGTATGGTGGTTAAGGGCCTGGACTCCCCACATGGCTTACCACGGTTTGGGTCCTGGACCTGGTGGCTTGCTTTCTCACTTTCTCTTTTTTTTCTCTTTCTCACTGGTCAAGTTAAAATATTAATAATAATAATAAAAAATAAATAAATGAATAATTCTTTAAAAAGAAAAGAGAGATATTATTCTGGGCCAGCAGGTGACATGGTGGCTTAGGCGACTGGATTCCACAGGGCCAACTGCTCGGCTTGAGAAACACATGAGGCACCTGTGTGTACTTGCCCCAAATCCCTAAAGGTGGGGGAGACGGAGAAGGAATTGTGGTGTGACCATCCCCCATGGGGGGGCTCCTTTCTCATTTCCCTTTTCCCTTTCTCTTACTACCTTTTCTGGGAGCTGTCCTCTAGCAAATTTTAAAAAACTAAAAGATACTGTTCCTACAAATGGACCGGGCAGCTTTGATTAATGGTTCTGTTGCGTATGTGAAATGATCTGTTGAGGAAAACCTGGGCATTTATTTTAGAAGTTGAAGAAAAATTCATCAAATAAATAAGGAAACAACATTTTTCCTGAAAATTTTCTAGAAGATGCTTACTTTGGTTTTGAAACAGTTAATCTTTTATTTTATATTTAAATTTGCTACAGGGCTCCTGCACTCACTGGAGAAAAATGATGGGGGAAGAGTCAGTAAGAAATCACCCCCCCAGGAGGAATGACTACGCTGTAATCCCTTCTCTTCCATTCTTCTCTCAGGATTTTGGGCATGCACATACACATGCCCAGTATTTATTCAAGCCACCAGACCTGAGATTCGAACTGCACAGTTGGCTATGTGGGATCTAGATGCTTTAACCACTATGCTGCCAAATGGCTTCCTATAGGAATTCTTTTTTAGTCTTTAATTGTTATATGTTATTTGAATGTTGGCATTTATGCAATTGTGTGTTCTGTCCTTCACCTTAAAATGTCTCATTTAACAACTTTTTGAATATGCCTCACTGGAGTGATTCATAAACTAGTTTGTGTTTCAGGGTAGTGAAAGGGGATTTGTTTCAAATGGTGAGATGAATGTCGAGCTAGTCCTCCAACCAGAAAGCATTCCATGCAATTTGAGGCACAGATTAAACAGCACATTTCTTCTTGGTCTGGGCTTGGGTGGAGAGTAGGTGGATTTTTGCAGTATTTGTTCAAATTACAAATAGTGAGATGCTAAAAGCACTTTTTGCTTTAGGAAGCTCAGAGCACCAGTCGAATGACAGTTACATGACTGAGAGAGCTTAGTTCTTTGTTGGAAAAGAAGGTGAGACCTTTGCGTTTTGCTGGGAATAAAGAAGATAAAAAATAACACACACATCAAGTGTCAGCATGGATGAAATAGAACATAATAGGCTGGCATTCCCCAGGCTTTATAGGTCTTACTTACCTCACTAAAGATATCAAGTAAGAAGTGGTCCCAGATTTTGAATTTTAGTAATCTTTTATTAAAAATAGCTACTGCTCAGGCCAGCAGGTGGTGTGGTGTTTAAAGGGCTGGAGTCCCACACAGCCTCCACTGTTCAAGTCCTGGACCTGGTGGCTTGCTTACTCCCTTTCCCTTTGTCTCTCTCTCTCTCTGTCTCTCTCCAGTCAAATGAAAAAACAATAACAAATGAATTAAATAAATGAATAATTAAAATTTAAAAAAAAATAACTACTGCTCAAATCAGGGAAGGAAAGAAAACAGAATACAGGTTGAGTGTCCCTAACGTGAAAATCCAAAATCTGAAATGTTCCAGAATCCAAAACTTTTTTGAGCACTGACATAACACCACAAGTAGAAAATTCCATACCTGACCTCATGTGATGGGTTGCAGTGAAAATGCTGCAATACAAAAATAGTTTATAAAATTACCTTCACGTTGGGGCTAGCAGATAGCATAATGGTTTCATTGCTGGACTCCCACATGGTGACAGCAGTTTGAGTCCCTGATCTGGCGGCTTGAAACTTGCACCAGGCGCAAGTGCAGGCACGCCCAGCATCTCAAGAGGAGAATAGAGGAGAAGGGATTGCAGTGTGACCATCTCCCCTGGGGGTGATTTCTCTTTTCCTGTCTCTCTCTCTTTGTCTCCCCAAAGAGAGCACATGCCCTATAGCAAGAATCTCTCTTAAAAAAAAATTATCTTCAGGCTATCTGTAAACATGGGGTACTTAAAAGGTTTGCATAAAATGTTTATTATGAAAAAACTATACATAGATTTAAAATTTTTTTGCACAAAAATAAACTCATATTTTAATTCCATTTTTTTCAGTGAATTTATTGAAGTCTTCTTGTAAGGTGCATGTGAAACATAAATGAATTTTGTGTTTAGACTTGGGTTCCAATACCAAGAAATCTCATGATATATATGAAGATATTTCCAAATCCACAACAACTGAAATCAGAAACACTTTGGTCCTAAGCATTTTGGTTAAGAGACACTTAACATGTATTGATCTGAAAGAAAATATTGGATTATTTTAGATTACAAATAAATATTCAACATCTGATAACTGTTAAGGATACAAACATGAGTAGATATTTGTGTTGCATTCTTTTCTAAATTTGTAAAATATGCTAAACTTCTGGCGAGAATTGATTTGGAGTTTTCAGACCCCTGAAGGCGCAGGAATTGTGTCAACCCTTTGCATCTGGAGTGCTAGGTAAAGCAACAATTTCAGAGGGACAGAGATGCAAACTAGGTACTGGATGGCCATAAATGTTCTTAACCTCTTCAGAATTTCTCAGGAAAGAATTAGAACACAAAGCAAGCACTGCCAGGCTAAGAAAAGGGCCCCGTGAATGGTTTGTTCTAAAGCAAGTCCATAGGAACTTGTATGTATCAGTTAGGATTGAGTTCAATTGTATATAAAAAAGAGATCATCAAATGCAAGAGCCTTAAGCAAAATATTCAATAGAGGGTTGATTTTCTTCACATAAAAGAAGTTAAAGCTAGGACCTGAGGGCTGTCATCAGCTCTGTGGTCAACAGGGATGGGATCCCTCTTTCTTGTTTCATCATCCTTAGCTCTGGGTTCCACCCTCAGGTTGTTTTAGCAGTGCTGCTAGATGACCACATCTGTGCTCCAAGCCAAGGAAGAGTAAGGCCAAAGGGCGTACTTCTGGTAGAATCACTCTCTTCCCTAAAAAGCACTTTCCCGGCAGCTCCACCCATTGTTGGCCACCCCCTCTGTAAATGACATTGCCTTTCCCAGTAATGTAGACACTAGATACTAGAAAGGCAAATCTTGGTGATCATATTCTCTCTCTCTTTTTTTTTTTGTTGAGAACTTTTTGCTGTAGGGCACATGTGCTTGCTGTAGATACAGACAGAAAGCGAGAAATCACCCCCTGTGGGGATGGCCATGCCACAGTATTTTCTCCTCCATTCTCCTCTTGGGATTTTGGGCATGCAGGCACACGCACCCCGCATGAGTTTCAAGCCTCGGGTCCAGGACTTGAACTGGGGCCAGCCATATAGGAGTCCAGTGCCTTAACTATTACACCACCAGTTGGCCCCCCAAGTGAGCATATTCTTAAAGGTATTACTAAGACTTAGGTAGTAAAACTTGGGCATTCCTATGAACTCTTAGAATAAGACAGTACTATTTAGCAAGGCTGGCTTTTATGCTGCTGAATTGACTTATTCAACAATATTGATAATTTACCCTGTGCTAGGGACCAGCAGTTAGCGTAATGGCTATGTCGCTGAACTCCCATGTAGTCGACTGTGGTTCGAGTCCTAGACCTGGTGTCTTAAAACTCAGACTGGGCGTGTGTGCGTGCATGCCCAAGATCTTGAGAGGAGAATGGAGGAGAAGGTATTGCAGCGTGGCCATCCCCCCTGGAGGGTGATTTCTCGCTTTCTAGCTCTCTGTCTCTCTTTGTCTTTCTGGTGAGTGTACTCGGCCTATAGCAAAAGCCTCACCAAAAAAAAAAAAAGAATTTACCATGTGCTAGGCACTGGAGTTACACTAGTAAACCAGATAGACATGGTCCCTGCCCTTACAGAGTTTAGTGGGGGTAAAAGGGGTTTTGAATAAGTAAATTATACATTATAAATGCATTCAACATTAAGAAAGGAGAAGTAAAGAGTGCGTGGGGTTGTACAATAGGACAGACTGAGAGTAGGGTTCTTGAGAGTTAACCAGGTTAGCAAGGTTGTGAGAGGAGGGCGAGAGGGGGAGGGATGTTCCAGACAGACTAATCATTTCCATAACATTCCTTTTTTTCTATTATTTGCCCTTTTCCTTCGTCAGAGGAAATCAATGAGAACTTCCAAGCAACAGAGGAAGGCAGGGACCAGTTCCTTTTCTTTTCTTTTCTTTTCTTTTTTTTTTTTTAAGAGATTTTTGCTATAGGGTGTGTGCACTCACCAGAGAGAGAGAGAGGGGGAAAAAAAAAAGACACAGAAAGCAAGAAATCCCCCAAGGGGATGGGGATGGCCATGATGCAATCCCTTCTCCTTCGTTTTCCACTCCAGATTTTGGGTACACATGCACAAGCACCCAGCATGAGTTTCAAGGCACTGGGTTCAATATTTGAACTGTAGTCACCCGTGTGGGAATCCAGTGACATAACCATTATACCATCTGCTGGTCCCAGGACCAGTTTTTTTGTTCTGTTTTTTAATGTGAAATGGCCAAAGGGGACTGTCATCCTTTCTCCTTACTTGTTTCACTGCTGTAGATGAGTGCCTGCCTTCCTCGGCTGCACCAGGGCGCGGTGGGGACTGAGGAAGGAGGCGGACAGATGATTGGGGCGTACTGAACTCTGGCTGCTTCATCGTAGATCTGGATTTTGGCCTCAGTGTGCAACTCTGGGGAGGCGAGGGCCGGTGCTGACCCTGAGGTGCTGATAATGACCTTCTTCCCCTTCCAGGAGGTGGACATCTTGGTGGCACCGTGCCAAGGCCTCCGGCCCACAGTGGATGTTCTGAGTGACTTGGTGAATGACTTCTTACCTGTGATAACCTATGCACTCCACAAAGATGAACTCTCTGAGAGGGATGAACAAGAGCTTCAGGAAATCCGGAAGTACTTCTCTTTACCTGTGTTCTTCTTCAAAGTGCCGACGCTGGGCTCAGAGATAATAGACTCCTCTGCCAGGAGAACGGAGAGCGAAAGATCGCCACTTTATCACCAGCTAGTCGACCTGGGCTATCTGAGCAGCAGTCACTGGAACTGTGGGGCGCCCGGTCCAGACACTAAAGCTCAGAGCATGTTGGTGGAACAGAGCGAGAAGCTGAGACACTTGGGCATGTTTTCGCACCAGGTGCTGCAGGCTCGTCTGGTGGACGCAGCCAGGGCCCTGAACCTCGTGCACTGCCACTGCCTCGACATCTTCATTAACCAGGCCTTCGACATGCAGCGGGACCTGCAGATTACGCCCAAGCGCCTGGAATATACTCGAAAAAAGGAGAACGAGTTGTATGAATCACTGATGAATATTGCCAACCGAAAGCAGGAGGAAATGAAGGATATGATTGTTGAGACACTTAACACCATGAAGGAAGAACTTCTGGATGATGCTGCCAACATGGAGTTTAAAGGTAGGTCCTACTCCTTGTTGGAGTGCTGAGGTGATAGGAACCTCTAATCTTTTTGTAGCTAGAAATTAAGTATAATTGATTTTTTTTTTTTTTTTTGGAGAGAGGTTGCTATAGGGTGTGCACACTCACCAGAGAGACAGAGAAACAGAAAGCAAGAAATCACCCCCAGGGGGGATAACCATTCCGCAGTCCCTCTCTCTCCCATTCTCCCCTGGGGATTTTGGGCATATATGCACACATGCCTGGCATGAGTTTCAAGCCACCGGGTCCAGGACTCTAACTGTGGTCGACCATGTGGGAATCTGGCACCTTAACCATCATACCACTGCTGGCCCAAGTATGTTAATTCTTAAGGTTAAAGGAACCTCAGATAATCTCATCTATTTCAATGCTTTCAGA